CCGGACACTGTCACCCCCCTTCCAGTCCGGACACTCTCCCCCCCTTCCAGTCCGGACACTTTCCCCCACTTCCAGTCCGGACACTTTCCCCCCCCTTCCAGTCCGGACACTTTCCCCTCTTCCAGTCCGGACACTTTCCCCCCCTTCCAGTCCGGACACTTTCACCCCCTTCCAGTCTGGACACTTTCTCTCCCCCTTCCAGTCTGGACACTTTCCCCCCCTTCCAGTCCGGACACTTTTCTCCCCCTTCCAGTCCGGACACTTTCTCCCCCCTTCCAGTCCGGACACTTTCACCCCCTTCCAGTCCAGACACTTTCACCCCCTTCCAGTCCGGACACTTTCACCCCCTTCCAGTCCAGACACTTTCACCCCCTTCCAGTCCGGACACTTTCACCCCCTTTCTGTCCAGGCCAATTTTTTCAGCTTTCAGAGCTATCACACTTTGACAATTGCGCGGCCATGCAACACTGTACCCATATTAATTTTTAGCATTTTTTTGAGACAGATAAAACTTTATTTTGGTGGTATTTATTCACCATTGGGATTTTTATTTTTTTTGTCCAAAAATTTTGAAAAAAAAGTGTTTTTCTTATAAAATTTTGCAAATAATAATCTTTCTTCATAAATCTTGGCCAAAATGTATTCAGTTATCTTTTTAGTACATATTTCAAAATTTGTTTTACATTTTATTTTATTTTTTTATATTATTTATTTATTTTTTACATACTGTCACCCTAGCAGTACAGGGTCAACATGATGACACTGTACTACTTGTGGGTGGTGATGGAGATTTTTTTTTTTTTTTTTTTTTTTTTTTACACTGCACTGCTAGGGTGATGGTATGTAAAAAACAAAAAAACCCAAAAACATAAATAAAAATATAAAAAAAAATAAAATTGAAAAATTATAATTTTTAGTTAGAAACTAATTTGGGTTATTTTTTATAATTTTTTTTTTTAATAAAAAGATAACTGAAAACATTTTGGCCAAGATTTATGAAGAAAGATTATTTATTTGCAAAATTTTATAAGAAAAACACTTTTTTTCTAACTTTTTGGACTTTTTCATTTTATATAGCAAAAAAAAATAAAAATCCCAGTGGTGAATAAATACCACCAAAATAAAGCTTTATCTGTCTCAAAAAAATGCTAAAAAAATTCATATCCGATTCTAGTGTGGACCCAAAAAAGGGTCCTACGTGTTTTTTTTGTGCGGTGTGAATAGAACCATACATAATGTACGGCTCCGATCGCACTGTACACAAATCACATGTGATCTGCACAGGAATGGGTGCGGTTCCTGTGTGAAACACATGCGATTATACCGCACTGCACACATGTGAACCCGGGCTGAAGGTTTTTTACCTTCATACATAAACTGCACCTTCCGCCTTTACAAGCAATTTCACTCATTCACAACATATATGCGGCATCCAGGAAGAGGACTATTACCCAGGCATTGTCCATACCAGGGGCCTCCAAACCTTCTAGACAAAGGGCCAGTTTAATGTCCTTCAGCCTTTCAGAGGGTCGGACTGGCCATTGGGAGTAGAAAAGGTCCAGTGGGAGGAATAGCGTCCCCATCAGTGAAGTCATTGGGAAGAATTCTGCCTAATCATTGGTGTCACTGAGCCCCATTGTTGGTGTCATTGGGAATAATTGTGTCTCTTCATTGGTGTCACTGAGCCCCATTGTTGGTGTCATTGGGAATAATTGTGCCCTTTCATTAGTGTCAGTGGAGGAAATGATGCCCCATTGTTGGTATCAGTGGATGAAATAGTGCCCCAAGGGCCAGATAAAAAGCAAGCAAAGGGCCACAGTTTGGAAACCACTGGTCTATACACTATTGCCCCAAGTATTGGCCCTACCCTCCTAATCATGTGATTCAGGTGTTCCAATCCCCTCCATATCATGTGACTCAGGTGTTCCAATCCCCTCCATATCATGTGACTCAGGTGTTCCAATCCCCTCCATATCATGTGATTCAGGTGTTCCAATCCCCTCCATATCATGTGACTCAGGTGTTCCAATCCCCTCCATATCATGTGATTCAGGTGTTCCAATCCCCTCCATATCATGTGACTCAGGTGTTCCAATCCCCTCCATATCATGTGACTCAGGTGTTCCAATCCCCTCCATATCATGTGATTCAGGTGTTCCAATCCCCTCCATATCATGTGACTCAGGTGTTCCAATCCCCTCCATATCATGTGACTCAGGTGTTCCAATCCCCTCCATATCATGTGACTCAGGTGTTCCAATCCCCTCCATATCATGTGATTCAGGTGTTCCAATCCCCTCCATATCATGTGACTCAGGTGTTCCAATCCCCTCCATATCATGTGATTCAGGTGTTCCAATCCCCTCCATATCATGTGACTCAGGTGTTCCAATCCCCTCCATATCATGTGACTCAGGTGTTCCAATCCCCTCCATATCATGTGATTCAGGTGTTCCAATCCCCTCCATATCATGTGACTCAGGTGTTCCAATCCCCTCCATATCATGTGACTCAGGTGTTCCAATCCCCTCCATATCATGTGACTCAGGTGTTCCAATCCCCTCCATATCATGTGACTCAGGTGTTCCAATCCCCTCCATATCATGTGACTCAGGTGTTCCAATCCCCTCCCAATCATGTGATTCAGGTGTTCCAATCCCCTCCCAGTCATGTGATTCAGGTGTTCCAATCCCCTCCATGGACACAGGTGTATACAATCAAGCCCCCAGGCATGCAGACGGCTTCTACAAACATTGGTGAAAGAATGGGTCGCTCTCAGGAGCTCAGTGACTCCAAGCGTGGTCCCGTGATAGGTGGCCACCTGTGTAATAAGTCCATCCGTGACATTTCCTGGCTACTAAATATTCCACGCTCAACTGTTAGTGGGATTATAACAAAGTGGAAGCAACCGGGAACAACAGCCACTCAGCCACCAAGTGGTAGGCCACGTCACATGACAGGGCGGGGCAGGGAGAGAGAGGGATCAAGAGAGAGAGGGGGGGCAGGGAGAGAGAAAGAGAGAGAGGAGGGGCAGGAAGAGAGCAAGGTGGCTCAGAGAGAGAGAGAGAGCAAGGGGGGGGGGGGGGGGCAGGGAGAGAAAGAAAGAGGGGGTCAGGGAGAGAGAAAGAGGGGGGCAGGGAGGAGAGAGCAAGGGGGGGGGGGATTCAGGGAGAAAACAAGGGGGGCACGGGAAGAGGGAGAGAGAAAGAGGCGGTCAGGGAGAGGGATAGTGCAAGGGGGGGGGGGGGGGGCAGGGAGAGAGCAAGAGAGGGGGTAGGGAGAAGGAGAGAGAAAGAGGTGGCAGGGAAAGGGAGAAAGCAAAGAGGGGCAGGGAGAGAGCAAGGGAGGGGGGCAGGGAGAGGGAGAGAGTAAGAGGGGGGAGAGGGAGAGAGCAAGAGGGGGCAGGGAGAGAGCAAGAGAGGGGGGCAGGGAGAGAGAGGGGAGCAGGGAGAGGGGAGAGAGAGCAATGGGGGGGCAGGGAGAGGGAGAGAGAGCAAAGGGGGGCAGGGAGATACAGATTTTGTAAAAACATGAAGCGGTGCCTTCATCGGCCAGCAGCTGCCCCACCACCCTGCTGACTGTCCCTCTCCCCAGACCATGTCCACTCCCCTGGGCCGGCAACACTCACCTGCTCAGACAGCGAGGCGGGAGCGGCTGCACCAACCACGATCACCCACAGGCCAGCCCTGCCACCACACGTGACCCCATTCGGCCAATCACAGGGCACCATGAGTTCCAGGCAGGCTCCAAGCCTCAGGCTTTATGCGCCCCTCTAGATGTTGCCCCACCTCCCTGAAAAATGCCTTGTTTGCGGCACGGTTAATACGCCTCTGATCACAAGGAATGTTGTTCATCCCTTATGATAACAATAAAGTTGATTAAAGAAAATTAAAAGGACGACGTAAAAAAAAAGTTTTAAATAACATTAAAGAAAAAATTTAAAGCGCCCCCCACCCCCCTGTGCTCATGTGCAAATGTAAATGTATAAGTAAGTCCTGCACCTGCAAGTATATGTAAACGGTTATGGCACCACACACGTGAGATATGCCTCCAGGACACCTCCTGTGCAACTCAAAACTGGTAACTTGTAAAGCTTTGCCTATGAATAATTTTAGGTACCGCAGTTTGGCGCTATTCCATGGGCAAACGCAAATTTAAAGTGTGACATGTTTGGTATCTATTTACTCGCTGTAATATCATATTTTTTATATTTTACAACAAAATTGGGTATTACATTGTGTTTGTGTGCAGTAACATTTCTTAAAGTGTTAGCTGTGCAACTATTGGGAGACATTAAAAAATGACAACATCTACCATTTTATTCTCCAGGGTCTCTGCTTTCAAAAAAAATATGTCATACCTGAGGGTTCTAAGTCATTTTCTGGCAAAAAAATTGCAAATTTTTACATGTATGTGAGAAGTGTCAGAACCGGTCGGGGAAAAAAAAAAATACTGAGAATTAGATATGAGGTGTTGTGTAGGGCAAAAGGGAATATATTTGAAATATATTTTAAAAAAATATTCTTCCCAATTATATTGCCATATATTTGAAATGCTACAATTTTAGCCATATTTAATATATTTCAAAAAATATAATTCAGTCTATTATATGTGATAGTATCACCGCTAAGTAATATTTCTTCATATTGGGCAAACCCACATGGTAGAAAAATATATTTGAAATATATTTTAAAAATATTCTTCCCAAATATATTGACATATATTTCAAATGCTACAATTTTGGCCGTATTCAATATATATCAAAATACATTTTTTATATATATATATATATATATATATATATACACACACACACACACATATACCGCATGTTGAAATGCATTTTTATTACAACATATATGAAAAATAGTATGTCTTTCAAAATACAAATCTACATTTTTGGAACACATTTACAAATACACGTAAACATATATGTTAAAATGACTTTTTTATATGTTAAAACAAATCTGAACATATTCAAAAAGTAATTTTAACATATATGTTTACGTGTATTTGTAAATGTGTTCCAAAAATACCCTACCCGGAGATGCAAAATCATATATACAGTGGGGCAGGAAAGTATTTAGTCACCACCAATGGTGCAAGTTCTCCCACTTACAAAGATGAGAGAGGCCTGTAATTGGCATCATAGGGAGACCTCAACTATGAGAGACAAAATGAGAAAACAAATCCAGACAATCTCATTGGCTGATCTGGAAAGAATTTATTTGCAAATTATGGTGGAAAATAAGTATTTGGTGAATATGAAAAGTTCATGTCAATACTTTGTTATATATCCTTTGTTGGCAATGACAGAGGTCAGACGTTTCCTGGAAGTCTTCACAAGGTTGGCACACACTGTTGCTGGTATGTTGGCCCATCCTCCATGCAGATCTCCTCTAGAGCAGTGATGTTTTGGGGCTGTCGCTGGGCAACACGGACTTTCAACTCCCTCCAAAGGTTTTCTATGGGGTTGAGATCTGGAGACTGGCTAGGCCACTCCAGGACCTTGAAATGCTTCTTACGAAGCCACTCCTTCGTTGCCCGGGCGGTATGTTTGGGATCATTGTCATGTTGGAAGACCCAGCCACGTTTCATCTTCAATGCCCTTGCTGATGGAAGGAGGTTTGCACTCAAAATCTCACGATACATGGCCCCATTCATTCTGTCCTGTACATGGATCAGTCCTCCTGGTCCCTTTGCGGAGAAACAGCCCCAAAGCATGATGTTGCCACCCCCATGCTTCACAGTAGGTATGGTGTTCTTTGGATGCAACTCAGCATTCTCTCTCCTCCAAACACGACGAGTTGTGTTTCTACCAAACAGTTCTATTTTGGTTTCATCTGACCGTATGACATTCTCCCAATCCTCTTCTGGATCATCCAAATGCTCTCTAGCAAACTTCAGACGGCCCGGACATGTACTGGCTTAAGCAGGGGGACACATCTGGCACTGCAGGATCTGAGTCCCTGGCGGCGTAGTGTGTTACTGATGGTAGCCTTTGTTACGTTGGTCCCAGCTCTCTGCAGGTCATTCACTAGGTCCCCCCATGTGGTCCTGGGATTTTTGCTCATCGTTCTTGTGATCATTTTGACCCCACGGGGTGAGATCTTGCGTGGAGCCCCAGATCGAGGGAGATTATCAGTGGTCTTGTATGTCTTCCATTTTCTAATTATTGCTCCCACAGTTGATTTGTTCACACCAAGCTGCTTGCCTATTGCAGATTCAGTCTTCCCAGCCTGGTGCAGGTCTACAATTTTGTTTCTGGTGTCCTTCGACAGCTCTTTGGTCTTCACCATAGTGGAGTTTGGAGTGTGACTGTTTGAGGTTGTGGACAGGTGTCTTTTATACTGATAACAAGTTCAAACAGGTGCCATTGATACAGGTAATGAGCGCAGGACAGAGGAGCCTCTTCAAGAAGAAGGTCCAGGTCTGTGAGAGCCAGAAATCTTGCTTGTTTTAGGTGACCAAATACTTATTTCCACCATAATTTGCATATAAATTCTTTCCAGATCAGCCAATGTGATTGTCTGGATTTGTTTTCTCATTTTGTCTCTCATAGTTGAGGTCTCCCTATGATGCCAATTACAGGCCTCTCTCATCTTTGTAAGTGGGAGAACTTGTACAATTGGTGGCTGACTAAGTACTTTTTTGCCCCACTGTAACTATATGCCTATGTAACTATGTAACTATATGACTATGTAACCAGGGGCGGACTGACAACTCATGGGGCCCCTGGGCAATAGGGGGATCATGGGGCCCCTGTGTCCTTGCCCAAACTCAAAAAAGCCTATGAAAAAGGTACCAGGGGCATCTCATGGGGTGCCCTACTGACAACGGGCCCTCAGGCAGTGCCCAAGTTTCCAAATGGTCAGTCTGCCCCTGTATGTAACTATATGACTATGTAACTATATGACTATGTAACTATATGACTATGTAACATGTGCACAGTTCAGATGAATTACAAATGTCTGGTGAGATGGCATATCACACTGAGTAAGGCACATAAACAACAAGTACAGGCGTACCTCGGTTTACGAATTTAATTTGTTCCGCAGGACTTTTCGTATTGCAAAAAATTCATAAACCGAAATGCGAATGCATTGAAAGCCAATTAATCCGTTCCGGAGGTCTGAAAAAAGCAAAAAAAAAGTCTTTTATCTGTTCAAAACTCTTTATAAAGTGCACTTTAAAGGCATAAATACTGTACAGGGACGTGATTAAAAATTAATTCGTAAATGCATTGAAAACCAATTAATCCGTTCGTATTGTGGATTAAAATTGTATCATTATATACATTCTATTATACATTGTATCTCTCTAACTCCTGGCATAGAGGGAAAAAATTTTTGTAAAAAAAAAAAGATAAATAAATAAAGAAATATTAAAGAATAAAGAAATACATACCTAGAACAAGGTTTGATCAAGTTCAATGCCAGGGTGAGTGTTTGGGTCAAGGCCAGTGTCAAAGGTCAAGATTAAAAAAAATTGGTGTCAGTGTGGTGTCAATTGTGCACTATTGTTTCTGGGCTGTACTTCGGGCACAAACAACAAATAACATCCACATAGATGGTAGCGATGCGATCGCTAAGAGCTGGAGAATTTATTTTGGGTTGTTCTTCGGTGGTAGGTTATGGCAGTAACAAGAAACACACAGCTAAATAAAAAAAATGATTTCTTTTTTACTATTTTGGGCCAGTTTTCCTTTGATAATGAAAA